TGAGCCCAGATACAAGGAGTAGTAAGGAGAGGGCAGCCAAGGCCTTCAGGTTGCCAGTTACTTGGTGAGAAATCCCATTCATCTTGGGAAACAGATTTTTAAAATAAACTTGGCACAGGAAATACCACCATCCTTTTGTGAAGCCGTAAACCCTCAGAATCATGCTCTCTAGCCCTCCGCCAAGCTGACAAATTTTTAGGCATCAGCATATCCTCAGGGTGCCACCTTCTGCTGACCATGTGGGGCTCTTGTGCTCTTCGGCTTGGCACTGAAGCGCAGTCTTCTCCTTTATGTAACAAGGCGCATCAGAGAAGCCCTTTATGCTCACCTTCTGGGAGTGGGTGCTGGGCCAGACCTCTCCTGTAACCCGTCATCTTCCATAGGGTCAGAGCTGGTGAACATTTCCATGGCCTGGTAAAGATTTTCTAACTATTGCCACGCTCCCCTGCCCCCTAGCCCCCTGCCAAGCTCTTTTGCTTCAAGCCAGGATTGTCATGACCCAGTTTTTAGTTTGAAGATGAATTTTGCAAATACACACAGCACACACTATTTTCAGAGAAAATGCATGGGTGTGTGCCGCAGGCTGATGTCACACAGTGCTGCCTGGCCCAACAGGCCAGCGAGGGTTCCTCTTTGCAGATTTTACCAAGAACAGGGCAGGAAGACACAGAATCCACTTTCTGAGAAGGCTTGTTCCTGGCGTGGGACATAATATCGGGCCTATTTTCTGACGTCTTTTCATTTTTGCTTTGGGGTATCAAGAGAAAAGACCGTTTGCCACAGCGGGCCACATAGCCTCATTGTTCACGGTGTTCCTCCCTTTAATTATTCTTGTTTAACTTAGTGTTTGTTTCAAAGCTAGCGTCAGGTGTTGGCAGCTTTCCTAGGGGAAACAGATCGCACTGAAGTAAACACAGCTGGAAACTGACCATGGGTTTTTTTCCCCCCTTTTAAGAAATGAAAGAAGTGTTTATCGGGAGGCTGGAGAAGATTGTACCGCCCTGGAATTACTTTATAGATTTACTTCTCCGGGTGTGGTCAGTGATAAATGTCTGGCCTGGGTGTCCACATGGATTCACTTCCGGTCTCCCCTCCTAAGCTGCAGTTTTCCTGGGAACAATGAACTCGAAGAGGGTTGCTGCAGTTCGCACTGGCTGGAGGTGGAGTCGGGTCCTTTTGGTTTCTCCCAGCTGAAGTGTGTGGTCTTTGGAACTGAGTAAAGAATGACTTCTGTGGGGTTTTCTCTCTTGCTGGCTTTCCCTGCAGCCTTCAAAACTTCATCAGAGTCGCGGGCTGTTTCAGAGATGGGCGAGTAAGTGAATTCTGAAATGTTGGTGTGTATGTGTTTATGATTTCTGTATTATTCGATCTACGTCTTCAAGTGAGGACAGGGTATTTTCTAGCAGTGCATTTCAGTTAGGTTTTGTGTCTCCCGGAACAAGCTTTTCCTTGTTGCTGTCAGCAGTTTGCTAGGCTTTGAAATATTAGGCTTAAGAAAAGTCTGAAGACTATGAAAATCTGCAGCTCATATATAGTTAGGGATCGAATCTAAAGAAAAGCTGGCAGTTTTACAAAGTCGGCAGCAAATTCAGGGGAGGAATGGTGTCAACGTTGGGCAGAGTGGCTGGTGTACAGGTGAAATGGAAAAAGAACCACAGAGATTCTGCTCCTCCTTGGAGACTTTATTCTTGTTGTGGTTGTTTATTCCTTTATTCCTTTGCTCTCCGTGCCAAAAATCCCTCTCTCTTTTCAGGATAGATTTTTTTATATTATCAGAAACTGCTCCCAATTACTTGCTGTGTTAAGGTTTTTTTTTAAGTTTTTTTTTTTTTTAGGATAACTTTTTCTACTTCCATCTTATAAGAACCGAGTAAGAAAAGAAAGAGAAAGGAGTTTAAGACTAACTTCTGCTTTTGGTTTGCTTAAATGAGCACTGGGGACTTTTTGTCACAGGCAAAATACATTTTGCTTTTAGTTTTGTTTCATCTGACAGAACTATAGCATTGTATTACTGAGATTACCTGAATTACCTGTCACATGCCCTGGACTATGTGTGTAGTTATTTGAATAAGTGTCCTTCATCCCTTGCTGTAGTGTCTCATTTGAAATACCATCGCCTGACTTTCTGACGGAGGCTCATGGATGAAACTGGAATGAGGCCATCTCTCTGTTTGGGTTTTCACAATCAGATCAAGCATCTCGCCGAGTTTGTAGCATGTAGTGAAGCCTGATGTGTTGTCAGTTGATATTGCATTGCGCTGAGTAATTTAGTAAAATTTCCTAAATGGTGCTATGAACTCCAAGAAGAAGAAAGTGAACGCGGAATTTTAAATCATATACGATGCGCAGGGAAAAATGAGGTGAGAATTGAGAAGAGTTGTTTGACTAAAGGTATTCCTAAAAAGTTTTCTCTGTGTTGACTGATATATATATATATATATATATATATATGTTCTCATATTTTGCACAATTTATTTATTTGTTGTTTTGCAGTGCTATGAAAAAAGACTTAGTTATTCATATTGGGTGTGGATAACACGACACACTTTCTCATGAATTTCAAATGATTTTTCTTAGTGACTTGGCAAAACCCTATCTCAAAATAAAAAGTACATTTAAAAATACTGGGGTAACTATCTCTGAACTGTAAGTGCCACTTTAATACAGTTGGTTTGGTATAACCATGTGGTTACTTAGGGCTAGATTTAGGGGAGTGGAAGAGCCAGAAGTGAATGCCTCTTTCCTCCCTGTGTCCTGACCATGCTACAGACAGAAACACAGGCCTGAATAGATGTTAGAACTTCCTTTCCTCTGTCAGAGATATCATCTGTGCTTTTCCCAGTGTTCACCTGACAATGTGAACTTAAATGCCTCTCTGTTATTAAACTCACACTGGGGTGACACCGAACCAGGTGGTTTTTGTCCCAGCAGCGCCTCATCATTAATGTGAGGTAATTCTTCTCTGCTTTAGGAAAAGGATTTTTCCCTCCTAACCTTGTGCCAGTCATCAACATCTACTTAGTCCTTTGGGTTGTAGAACTGTTGGCTGTTTCCTGAATTTATTCCAAGTTCTTGTAGAGGTTTTTATAGATTCAGTCTGTGTTCATAACGGATCTCTCAGTGGCTTTCTGGCTGCCTCTTGAGTTTAAAATCCGCATGAATTTGATTTCCTTGTTCTTATAAACCTTGTAAGTTCATGAGCTTATTCCACTGGTTCTGTGATCACTTGGGGTGTCATGGTTATCTTTAATGGCCTTTATTCCCAGTTGTGAAATTTTATATGCTCACTGACTCTACAAATCTGCCCTCTTTGGGTTGTGGTGTCTGTGTATCTTGCCCGTCTGGTCTCCAGTTGGTGGAATAACCTTCTTTGTACTGCCACTTCTCAGCATCTTTGAAAATTTGACATAATGTTGCTTCATTCCAGTTTTCTTTCTTTTTTTTTAAAGTTCTGTAATTTGTTGATTGTATTTAACTATGTGAGTTTTGTTGTGATGTTTACTGTATTGTGAAGCACCTCAATCATGTGGTGGGTGGTCTATAAATCAATAAATGATGACTTAGAGGCTGTAAAAAAATAAATAAAAATACTGGGGTACAGCTCAGTGACAGCCTTGGGTTCAATCTCCAGAGAGAGTGGGAGGGGGAGGGGAAAGAGAGGATAGATTGTTTCTCCATATGATTGTAATTAAGAGCTCTCTATGGTACCTGAGGGTTTTCTCTTATTCTTTATCTGATTTGATCCTCACATGAGTCCAAGGAAGTGGGTACTGATGTAATTTCCCAGTTTTACAGTGGGGGGAAGTGTCAGATGAAAAGCCGTTCTGGTGGTGCCTTAGTGAATGGACGAGTTGAAAATCTCATCATCTCTACACTTTTATTCTGAAACAGTGGGTAAAAAGCCTCTAACAGGGGGTGGGAGGGGGTCAGGAGTCCTAGACTCTGATCCCGTCTAGGGAGGGCGTTGCTGGCTCCGTGATGTTGATCAGGTCCCCAAAGTCTTTAGATGCTGTCTTCCTGCAAGGAGCGTACTTACTTGATTTCTTAAGTCTCCTAGCAGCTTTAGAATCTACCCGGCACCTCACCCAGGACTCCCTCTGCTCCGAAGTGCTTACTTTCAAGGCAGAGAAGAGGTGAGTGAGGAAGCAGAGCTATGGGCCGCCTAGCCAGTCCTGCTTAGGCTCCTCCTGCTAAATGCAAAGAGACACAGGTTCTTTACAAAGGTAGAAAAATCCCAGGCACTTAAAATACCATTTTTTTTGTTTTTTTTCTGATCTGCTTCCTGAGTTGGCATTTCTCAGTGTGTTCTTTTTGACTCATCAACAAAAGTACTTGAGCCAAGCTCTCCTGTAGTTTCAGCTCACAGATGAGCAATATCAGGTTACCTTCCCATCTGGTCCCCAGAGAAGTGGTAACCTCCTTGCCTGAACCCATCTGTTATTTTAATCCATCTTGGAACAAAGTAAATACAAGAAAATAGTACTCTAGGTTGTATGTTACTCTTTCAAGGTTTTCAACTCCTGGCAGGTGGATTGAGGAACAGAACGGGGCAGGGCAAGAGAGTGGAAAGGTAGTTTTTATTCCACTGGCATTAATTTTAGCAACTGTTCACAGACAAATTTAGAAAACTGTAGGGCATGGAGGTAATGGTGACCACATTTTCCTGACATTAAAAAGAAAAATAAAAACTATGACCAACATCAGCCGTCATCACGATTATTGTATAAAAGAAAAGACAAAGGAGTTACACAACAGATTCTCAGCAGGGAGAAAGGGTAGGTCTTCCTAAGAAAAGGGAGTGGGCATTCTTACCTGGATGTTTTCAGGTTGGACTTATAAGAATGTCGATCTTGACCCCTGTCTGCATTTGGGACCTCTGTGCATGCTGGTGCTTGGGTTCTTGTCACTCACAGACTTCCTGGCAGCTCCTTCTCAGATTCTGCTCCTGCCTTCTTGCTGTGATGTGGACTTTAGCTTTTTCCTTATTTCTTTCTGCACAGGCAAGAAGCGAAACCCAGGCCTTAAAATTCCAAAAGAAGCATTTGAACAACCTCAGACCAGTTCCACGTAAGTTGACAAGATCAATATCGTGATCCAGATCCTTGCGCTTTGTAGATTTTTCATTGGGGGTTCCTTTTTGGATTAGTGAGCAATGCCTTGAAGACCCTGGGTGAATTTGTTAAAATATTGGAAGTCATTTGCTCGCTGTTCTTAAGTCTATAATAGGTAACTTTGGAGGTGGTCTCTCAAATTATTGGCTGAGTGAGAAGTGAGTATCACATGCGTTTGAGAGCTGAGGGCCTGTTGAATGAAGAAGCAAGTCTCTGCGACAGCCACTACTATAAACGTTGGGTTGAGACAGAAAGATATGTGGGGAAGACCCACATCTGACACCTGAATCCTGCCCCATAGAAACAGTAAGCAAAATGAGGTGAAGAAACCTTCTCTTTTTAGTTGAAACTTTTAACTATACCTACAAGTTCTAGTGAAGCAGGGGACCCTCTCTGGGAGTTCGCCTCTGTTTCTTTGTCTCTCTGTGGGCTGATAAAAGTACTTTCTTTCCAGTCCACGTCATGACCACCTGCCAGAGCATCTGCATGGGATGAATGGGATTTCCAAGGCAATAAATCATGGTAGAGGCACTAGCAAACCAGAACAAGTCAGAGAGAGGGCATCCCCAAGGAAGCTGGTGTTTTTAAAGCCTTTGTTGATGTCTACAAAGTGCCTCTCTTTGTAAAGTTTTTGATCTTAATTGGGATCCAGCGTGTCTGAAATTGCACCCCCTAGTGTTGACATGTGCCCTAAACATGATCATGTCTATTACAAGAGGTTGCTGAGATTCTTGGTCTTTGCGTGTTTATGCAGTGACTCAAAGGAACTTTTCAATGAAGAACTTCCAGGGACAGGCCAGAGTGGGAGGCCGCTCTCTTGGGTTCTGGATGGTAGCTGAGGGACTAATCTTTAGTTAGAATGTGTGTGTGTGTGTGTGTGTGTCTGTATAGTTTAAAAGGAAGGTCTTCTCATGCCTACCATCAAGGCTGTTCTTTGGGGTATAGGAGGGTCCTCTGAACAATTGATTCTTCCACCCTATGGCCCTTTATAATTATCGTGTAATTATTATTTTTTCACTCTCTTGTTTCTTGAGTGCTTAGAGTCAAACATATGGCCTGCCTGTGTTACCTGTAGAGGACTTTTATGAGATATTCTTTTAAAGTTTTTATTTGGAAATAATCATAGATTCATAGTAGCTGCAAAATAATGTACAGCGAAGTTCCCTGTACCCTTGCCCCAGCTTGCACCGAAGTCCCCAACAACTCCCACCCATGTTAACATGTTACATAACTGTAGCACATTATAAAGAAATCAGGGAAGGCGTACTTGTTACCTCCCTCAGTTTTGGTTGAGGTAACTGCTACCATAGTGAAGCTGTTCCACTTTATGAGCAATGCAACTCTTTTTTTTATCTGCTGAAAGTTACACCTCCTTCCTCTTCCTCAGGTCCCCAACTCTAATAGCCAGCAACCACTTAACTGCTCTCCATTACCATTTTGTTATTTCATGATCGTTGTATAAATGGCATCTCTTTTTGAGGTTGATTTGTTTTTCATTCAGCATGCTTTTCTTGAAATTCATTCAAGGTTTGTGTCTCTCAATAACTCTGCTCTACAGCTGAATACCATTCTGTGGTATGGTTTATACCACAATTTACGTAAGGAAGTGTGGGTGGTTTTCAGCTTTAGGGTATTAAGAGTAAAGCCATAGGGGCCAGCGATTAGCTCAGTGGTTCTGCCTCCTGCCTCACAAGCGCAAGGTCCTGAGTTCAATCCCTGCTACTGCAAAAAAAAGAGAGAGAGAATAAAGCCATTATGAACATTCTATTTAAAGACTTGTATGAAAATTAGTCTTCATTTTTCTGGGGTGTATACCCACTAGTTCAATTTCTGGTTTATATGGTGAGTCCATTTTCAGTTTTGAAAGAACTGTCAAACTATTTGGCAGAGTGCTTTAGTTACCATTTTATATTCTCACTAATAACGCGCAAATGATGTAGGCTGTTTGCACCCCTGACAAACTTGATGTTGTCCCTATCTTGCATTTTAGCCCTTCTGATGCACAGTGATATACCACTATGTCTCTAACTTGAACTTCTCTACTGGCTAGGTATATAGAATGTGTTTTTAGGTGCTTATTTTCCACCCATACATTTTATTTGGTGAAATGTCTGTATATATCTTTAGGCTTCTGACTAGATTTTCTTTAATTGCTGACTCAAGAGTTACTTATCTGCTCGAGACGAAAGGGCTTTTTCAAATACGTGACATGGAAATATTTTCTTCCAGTTTAGAACTTGTTTTTTCACGCTCTTTTCAGGATGTTTCATGCAGGAAAAGTTTTAAATTTTTTGAAATTCACTTTATCAGTTATTCCTCTTAAAGATCATCATGCTTTTGGTAAGGAGTATAAGAAGCCCTTGCCTTGTCCTAGGTCCTGAAGATTTTCTGTATTCTTGTCTAGAAATTGTATAGTTTTACATTGGAGCCCATGATCTATTTGGAGTTCATTGTTATACAGGGTGTGTCTGAGGATTAAGTTGAGTTTTGTACTTTTTGCCAGTGGATTTCCAGTTGTTCCAGTACAATTTGTGGAAAAGACTATCGCTCGTCCATTGAATTGTTTTTGCTTCTTTATCTACTATCAGTTGGGCATACTTGTTTTGGTCTTTTTCTGGATTCTCTGTTCCATTGATTTGTTGGACAACATCACACTATCTTGATTACTGCAGCTGTATATGAAGTTATATCATCGGGAAAGATGATGCTTCCAACTTTGTTCCTTTTTCTTCAAAATTATGCTGAATCTTGAAAGGGCTTTTTTTTCTCTCGTGTTAGTTTTAGACTAAGTTTGTTTATGTCTGTCTACAAAGAACTTTCAGACATTTTATTAGGAATTGAGTTAATTTGTAGGTCAATTTAGGGAGAATTGATATCTACTTGAGTCTTCTAATCCATGAGATGATGAATTTCTTCAAGGTTTTGGATGGTCTTATCTTTCATTAGTATTTTATATTACAGATTATATTAGTATCTGTTAAGATTTATATCCAAGTATTTAATTTTTTGGATCAATTGTAAAAGATACTCAGAGTTTTTGTTCTGGGTTTCACTTGTTCATTGCCAACATGTAGAAATGCAATTTGCTTTTTCTGTGGCGATCTTACATCCTATGACTTTACTAAACTTAGTAGCTGTAGAAGCTTTTCATAAATCCCTGAGGGGCTTCTGTGTAGGTGATCATTCCCTTTGTAAAGAGGAATTTTTATTTCTTCATTTCTAGTCTCTCTTGAAGGGGCAAGAATGTTCAGAACTGTGTTAACTAAGATCGGTGAGAGTAGCCAGCTTTTCCTTGTTCCTCACCTTAGAGAAAAAGTGTTCAGTCTTTTAGTTTTTTAGTTTGTTTGTTTGTTTTGAGGTAGAATCTCACTGTGTTTTTAGGCTGGCCTTGGAGTCACTGTGTAGCAAAGACTGGTCTCGAACTCATGGCAGCTCTAACTCACCCTCCTGAGTGCTATGATCACAGGCAATGCCCCATCACGCCCAGCTTTAATCTCTTATTATTAAGTCTGGTAATAATGTAGATTTTTAAAAATGATGCCATTGATGAGTTTGAAGACGTTCCCCTCTAGTCACATTATAGTGAGAATTTTTATTATAAATGGGTGTTGACTCTTTTTGTCCCTCAAGTGCAATGATCATAGAGTTTTTCCTCTTTAGTATATTAATATGGTAAATTATATCCATTGATTTTTTTAAACATTGAGCTAGTCTTACATCCTCAAAATAAATCCTAGTTGGTTGTGATATAATTTTTTCAAAACCCATTATTAGATTTGATTTACCAATCAGGGAGGATTTTTACATCAAAGTTCATGAATGATGTTGGTCTGTGGCAATTTTTATTTCTGTTGTGCCTTTATTTCTAGTTTTAGTAGTAAGACGATTCTAAGTATTAAAATAAATGTTCTTTCTTTTATTTTCTTGTAGATATTGGTGTTAATTCTTTGAATGTCTTTGAAAATTCTCCAGTGACACAAAATGTGTCTGGGCATTTTTCTGAAACTTTTAAGTTACAAATACAGTTTCTTTAATTCATGTGGGCCTTTGCAGATTATCTTTTTCATCATGGCTGGCTTTTTTGTAGACTGACTTTTGAGGAGTGAGTACATTTCTTCTAAGTAGTAAAATTTCTGACAGTAGTGTTGTCATAGCAATAGCTGCAGGATCTGTTATGATATCCTGTTTTTGTCCCCTGATGTTGGTAATTTGTTGTCTTTTCTCTTGTTACCTTTGTGAGTTTTGCTTAAGTTTTATTGAATTTATTTATCCTTTTGAAGAATCAGATATATTTTATTGTTTTCATGTTTTCAACTTAATGCTTTCTGTTCTTACCTTTAATATTTTCTTTTAAATATATTCGTGTATCAGACTGAGAGTGGAGCTTCGTGGTACTGTACAGCACTCTCCCAAAATGAATGAGGCTTTGCATTGGATCCTCAGCACTGCAGGAAGGAAAAAAAAATTCTAAAACAAACCTGCTAATATCATGTTTTCCTTCTCTGTAAAACACATACTTTGCCCTTATTTAATGTGTGTGTGTGTGTGTGTGTGTG